TAGATACGCCTTGACTATATTTCTGCCAGTCTCCATCTGCACTCCTGGCCGCTCAGCCTGCTTCCTATTTTCTTGCTGGAGAAGACTGATCCCCAAAAACGTTGGTTACCTGCTGCCATTTTGCTGGCTTCATTGTGCTTCCTTCCAGAGAAGCTGTTAGATTCCTTATCCAAATCAATTCTTCCCTGAATCTATACATCCTCTATAATTCTAGCTACCTGTTTGTACTCCTCCTTGGTGACCTGGCCCTCTCAATCCCCTTTGTGTACTTTTTGGCTTCCAGATCTTCACTAAGCTTTTTGTGTAACCACATTGGCTTTTTCTGCTGTCCCCATGTAGTGACAGGGCTGAACTGTAGGGTGAAAAGTTGGAGGTCTCCACCCTTCTGCTTTACCTCCTGCCTTGGTGTGTGGGCTGGCAGTTCTTCCTGCCATCACTGTCTTCTAGAGAGCATCTCACTTGGGGTATGTTTCTTTAACCCAGAGTGGAGAGAGAAAGGATGGCCACCCCTGTCTTAAAAGGAAAAAAATAAAAATTTGTAGCGCCACCTTCTGATCTGGTACAACATATGTTATATTATATGTTATATGTTACATACATAGATACAGAGAGAGAGAATACTACATACATACATACATGCATGCATACATGCATACATACATGCATGCATACATACATACATACATACATACATATGAGAGACACATGGCAGGGAGAATCAGCCCTTTCTCCCCTTTCATAAGAGATTTAAAAAAGCAAACTTAAGGGGAAGAAAAGGCAATACCACAATCCCTTTTTAGTTTTAGGTAGTAAGGTGCAAGGCATTCCAATCAGAAGTAGCATCCTCAAAAGACCCTCCAGTGGGAAAGCTACAAAGAAAAACGTGCGGCTCTGGCAGAGCCCGAGACGTCTGCTCCTTTTTAGATGTTTCAGGTCATGAAAAACGGCCACCAAGCTCCTAGGTTGACTGTCTTGCAGAGAGAAACACCGGATACCAGTGACAAAAAGGCACACGCTCAAATTAACCACCTTAGGCGATATTCCCAACTATGCTTCTGCCTGTTCTTGAGGAAGACTTGACTTCTGAAGCCAAGGTCTCATGCTTGTTTTCTTGGGCATTTCCCCAGCCTCTTGCAGACTGCCACATTTGATCAGGAGCTCGGGCACAAGGTTTCCTGGCCCCAGCGCCTGGCCCTTTGCTCCTCCCCCTCCTCCTGAAGAACTGCCTGCTGTTTTCAGACAAAGAAGAGAGGGAACGGGTTGGGGAAATCTGCCACATGCTACCTCTCACGAAGATGTAAACTTGGGAAGTCTGCCTGAGAGGATGCGTCCTAGGAATATCCGAGTTTTACTGGCTGGCAGGGGAACTGCATTCACAACACCTCCATTTTCCCCCTTATTTGCAATTGCACATTTAGTATCTTCATTTTAGCAACTTTATTTGTTTATTTATCATATTTATATAGCCGCCCATCTCACACAAGGTGACTCTGGGCACCATACAACAATTAAAAAGAATAAATACATAAAAACAACTACATATAAAAAACTGTAAAAACACACAAAATAGGAGGGGATAAAATTAATAAGGGAGCCATCGTAAAGTCTCCCCAGTCCCCTGGGAGCCCCAGGCCTGATCACATAACCAGGACTTGAGGGACTTGCGGAATGTTAAGAGGGAGGGAGCTAATCTCACTTCAAGGCAGGCGCCACAGCAGAGAAGGTCTGCCTCCTGGGACCCGCCAAATGGAATTCTCTAGCAGACGGGGTCCGCAGCATCCCTCCTCTGCCAGATCTGATGGGACGGGCAGATGTAATCGGGGAGAGGCGGTAACCCGGCCCCACGCCGTGAAGGGCTTTAAAGGTCAAAAACAGCACCTTGAATTGGACACGGAAGCAAACTGGCAACCAGTGCAGCTCGTGAAGCAGAGGTGTAATGTGTACCACCCTAGGGGCACACATAACTGCCCGCGCTGCTGCATTTTGCACCAGCTGAAGCTTCTGGATACTCTTCGAGGGCAGCCCCATGTAGAGCACATTATAGAAATCCAAACAGGAGGTGACCATGGCATGAGTGACACCGATTAGGTCCCTCTGATCTAGGAATGGGCAGAATTGGCACACAACACGAAGCTGTGCAAAGGCCCTCCTAGCCACGACTGCTACCTGCTCTTTGAGCAGGAGTTGTGAGTTCAGGAGGACCCCCAGATTGCGCACTGCATCTGTCTGGGGCAGTGCGACCCCATTCAGTACCAAAGATGGCATAACCAGAAGGCCCCAAAACCCACAGCCACTCAGTCTTGCCAGGGTTCAGTCGAAGCCCTTTGTTCCCCATCCAGACCCTCACAGCCTCCAGGCACTGGGATAAGACATTCACAGCATCGCTTAATTCGCCAGGGGCAGAGATGTATAATTGGATATCATCAGCATACTGATGATGCCTTACCCCATGGCTACGGATGAGCTCACCCAGTGGCCTCATGTAGATGTTAAATAGGAGGGGGGAGAGCACTGAACCCTGCAGCACCCCACATAACAGGGGCCAAGGGCAGGATCTCTCCTCCCCAACCACCACCAACGGGAAACGGCCCTGGAGGAAGGGGGTGAACCAGCACAACACAGTGCCACCCACCCCCAATCCTCT